GATGTTTGTCTTCACCCATGTTGGTCCTGAGAACGGTCAGTGATTTCACAGCTAATGAGCAGATCGCCAAGAAGAGGACAGGATTTCTGAAGGGACGCTCGGGGTGGGAGGCGCTGTGGGGTGGGGTGGGGGACCCTAGTGTATTGTGTGCACACGGGCATGTAAATATCACGTGACTCCCGCCCGTCAGCGCTGCACGTCTCCTTGTCTCTGCCTTCACACCGAGGTGCTGCAACTCTTTGTCTACCTTTCTGAAAACACGAATGCCTTCTGTGTGCAGAAACACTCCACACGCTTTAGCTTCCAGAAACAGTTAGAAACAATAGAAACACATTCCATGGTGCGACAGACACTGGACTGAGGTCTTCAATCATCATGATGAGCCTTTATTATATCACAAACTTTAATTGTGAAAGCGAGCTGCAGTTTTTGTTACGAGGTGCAATTCTTGCTGCTCAGCCCAAAAAAAATAGAATAAAAAGTGGGCGTGCTCTTCTCCTTACTTCCTGTCGTGTACCTGCACTTCGTGCTCGATGATCGCGTCAGTTGAGCTCCAACTCCTCTGAACACTCAGTTTATCAGTTTGTTTTTTGTTTTGTTTTTTTTGTATACCTTTGGCCCTCTGAAGCCACAGAGAGAGAATAGAAACCCCGCCTACAAGCTGTTTGGAACAGCTAGAGGGGCAGCTAATCAGAAGACGATAACCAGGAGCAGTGGTAAACGGCTTGTTTCAGGTGGAAGGGCTGTTGGAGCTGAGAATCACGCAAAGTTGCTGTCATGGGGCGGAGTTTAAACCTCAGCTGTGATCTGAAAATCAGGAAAACGTGTTCAGAGCTCGACTGACGCGTTCGGGTGTAGAAACAGGGTAAAAGACAACATCTGTGCTGCTTCCACATGATCTAACCGCCTCTCTTAGGGCATCTCCACTTGTGTCACTACGAGCAGCCGAGAGGTTCGCTTTGAGGATTAAACCATCTTGGAGAGCGACTTCACTGCGAATGCTTCAGTGTCGATCAGGTTCAGTTATAACGTTCAAATGCAACCTCTGGTGAATGTGCGTGTGGTCTTGAGTCGACGTTCTGACCTTCAGATGTCTGCTTTTGGTTTATTGCAGTAATGATATTAGTCGGCGGTCTGAGTTGAGCTGCGTGCACACTGTCGCTCAGTTTTCGTGTCCTGTTTGCTGCCCACGAACCACTAAAGCTCGAGTGTCCGCAAACATGGCCAAAACAGTGACATCATCTCCAGGACCAAAGCACCAGCAGCGTGACGCGGCGGTCGGAAGGTGGAGGCAAGCGCCATATTTGAAACGAGTCGGTTTCTTTTTTTGGGTTGAGCTGCAGAAACAGAACCCGTCATGGGTTTGTCCTATTTTTCTACAGATGCTGAGTCAGTGCTTTTATTTTATACCTTCATTTTTACCTCATTTTTATGCAGATCCTTCCTCATTTAACAGAAACCGTCTCTCGTGCCTCAGCGTGGTGTCTCCACACAGACCGCAGGCATGGTCACAGGCTGTAAACGGGCCTGTCGGCTCAGCTGCGAGCAGAAGGTTGAATCCTCGGCGGCTCCAAGCAGGTGGAGCGGCTGCAGGAAACACTACATGAAGCCCAGAGTTAAACTTTGACCTCCATCGCTCGCCATTCTGAGCCTGTGTGTGAGAGTGAAGCTGTGCGCCCACCCACGGCGCTCCAACACTAACGTATTCGCAAAGATCTTTTTTCATGTTTTTTCCTCGTTTGGAAAATCATTTTTTAATAAAGTCTAAATGTTAAAGTCTGATGCTTGAATTAATTGAATGTTCATCAGTTTTCAGGGAAAGTCAGCAAGCAGGTTTTCTGTTTGTGGTTTCAGGTACTGCTGCACAATACTGCAATACTTATGGTATTAATCCAAGGCCAAGTAAGTAGAAGGTCAATACTGCTGGTACTGGTATCGATACTCGTGTAGGGGAGAGCAGTGTGTCGTCATCTATGAGATAAATTTAAACTTCACTCAGTCACAATAATAATAAAACACTTTTCATTCTTTTATCTTTCCAAAGCTTTCAGGACACTGGGCCTGTGAAATGTACCTGTGATGCACTTAGCGTGTGTAGTTTAAATAAAACCGTTAACAAAAAAACATTCAGATGTTTTTCATACTTCAAAGTTAGTTTTATTGTCAAAAACCACGTGTACAGATCATACACAGGAATTTGAAATTGCAGTTCTCCCACACCCCTCAGTGTGACACTTAAGTCTTATATACAACACAATCTTTTGTAAACAATAGTGTCAAACACAATCAGAGTGCTTGTAGGGTGGTTGGGTCAGAGGTGGAGGTGGGTATGGAGATGGTGTGTATGATAGAGCAGGGAAAGAGTTCACACCACCCAGTCACCTCTGTCCCGCAGCAGTCACACATTTGTGTTTTATTGGCACTGCCTTCATTTGAATTGTTTCCATTTTAACTCCTATTTAATCAGCCAATCACAGCAGCAGCTCAGTGCTCTTGATGATGAGCCGCTTAACTTCAAACTGAGCATTGTTTTAGGATCTGCTGGGATTTTCCCATGACCATGTCTGGATCCATCCTGCCTGGTTCGCTGTGGTCGTCAGCTGTGCGATGATGTCACAATGATCAGCTCTGAAGCGTCAATCTGGTGCTAGTGAGGTGACCTAGTGAAGTGTCCAGTGAGAGTAAGTGCGCATATTTGCAGAGACCCTCTCCCTAAACTAGATGGAACTGTGATCGAGATCCTTCTGAGGTTGTGGCTGTATCCCAATTCAGGGTCTGCAGCCTTAAAGGCCGCATTTTAAGGCCGATTAAGTCACAGCGACGAAGGCTGTCCCAATTCGAAGGCTGCTCGAAATGCGGCCCTCAAATGCGTCCTTCATTTCCCTGAATGTTAAGGATGTGGCGGTGTACACTTCGTGGCCCAACATATCCCAGAATGCATAGCGCGGCGGTGGGTGTGGATAATTTTGCCGAAAAAAACGGCGGATGAGGGGCGCCCGAAGAGTGAACTTTAAGTGAGTGCTGAATATTATGTCACTTATTTATGTGCAAATGTTCAATAACGAAGAACATTAAAACATCACTGTTGGCCACATGTCTGCAAAGTTATGGGACATTAGTGACATTTGTACTAACTTGGTTTTAAAGCCTTTACTTTAAAATATACGCCGTTCAATAGCTGACCTTAATCTTACAGAGAATGTGGTGATTTTATGGATATTTAAAGTCAGTCATATATCCACAAACACAAGCTGAAAGTCAGTGATGCTGCTCGGTTTGCAGTCCTGAATATCACGGCACAAGCAGGATTCACTGCACTGGTAATGTTAGCTGTTATATTGCTGCCTCTGTTCGGTGGGGTCGACCCAAACGGACTTTAACGTGTGTTTGAACGAGCTGACGGTTCACTCGTTAAGCTGAAAGAAAGATGCTTTAATCACAGGAGTCACACATGTGTCCACTGTACCATCTGGGAACTCTTCTTGTTTAGCACTCGTAATAACACAAACACTAAATCCTCCTTCTCTTGTGCTGTTTTGTAGCAGTGTATACACCTGAGACTGTCACCTGTCTGTCTGTCCTGCACTCTCTCTCTTTTCTTTCTCTCTGATTGTGGAATAAAAGTATGAACATGTATTTATAAGTTACACTTGTGTTTGAATCCTGCAGCTTATCACACATTTGATTTCCATGTGTGACAACTGCAAGTGTCCAGAGTGAGGACAGACTGAGGGACCCACTGCTGCACATCATCTGTGAGGCTTTGCACCCCTGATGATCCACCAGGACAAACTCAGCAGTGTGTGAGGAAGAGGAGGAGGAAGAGCCAGCAGCAGCTGACAGATGGAGAGAATAGACAGACTGTTCCCTGTTTGTGAAGGACTGCTAGGAAAGTTTAACATAACTGTCTGTCCTGAATCAGTCTTATTAGGTAATGTTCAAATAATTTTATCATTCCAGTGTTTTCAGTGTGGGAGAAAGTACTCAGGGCCTTCAAGTTACACACTATGAAAGGCAGCAACAAGTTTAATATTCAGAAACCTAAAGTATGTATCAGCAGCAGAATGGAGCTAAAAATAAATGTTTGTTTCAGTTCTATGAAGCTTTGAGTATTTTGGATTAGTAGCACTGCTGTGTTTGTTGCATCATATTGCTGTAATTGTTTATATGCTTTATATATTCTGAGGTAAGTTGATCTATAGTGTTACATCATATTCTATAAGGATGTTATGTGTTTGTATACTTTCTGCCCAGTTTGACCCATTTAGCAGAAGTCAGCCTGTTTAAGGCTCTGATATCTATTCTGTATGACTTAAAGCAGTTATGACATGGTCTGATTTTCTCACCCAACAAAGGAATATTTAATATACTCTTCATTCTATCAGAAACAGTTTTCACAGCTCGTGCATTTTCTTTTTAGACATATATGTAAGCACTGAGCCAAATGTAATGTAATGCCAACATATTAAAAGAACAATATTTGTCTCTTATGTATAATACATCTGTATATACACTGTCAAAGGTAATTGTCTTTGAGTGAAGATTTAAGGTGATAGGAAATATAAATAACTGCAACTTGAATCTTTGACCCAGAGTTCAAGCTCACTGCTGTAATATCCTGTTAAAAAATATATGTATATATATGTGTATATATATATCATAATAATCTGACAACAACTATAATATTGGCCATATTATATTTACATTACCACAGTGAGATGACTTTAGTGTCATGAACAACATGAGCTAATTGTTATTTACTAACTAATCTTAAATGACTGTTCAGTACAGAAATGAAGCCCGACTATCATGTTTTACAGTCCTGTGGTCTCAGCCTCAGATACTCAACTAATCAAAGTGATGTCATGACAAAAATGATTGACCAAGAAAACATTTTTCCTCCTTCATTTCTGTCACACAAAGCTGTATGAAACGTTTCTCGCGGTTAGTATCATGGTTGCTAGGCAACCTGAGCAGCGTGATGAAGGCTGAACCGTCCCATTTCACAAGTCTCTCACTTCCTCACTTCTTGTACATAGTACGTACTGCGCGTACGTCAAGCGTGCGGTCTCTTAATTGGGACACAGCCTCAGTGTCCGGCACCTGTACAGTCCCACAATAAACACAGGAAGACCAGAGACCAGACGAGTCGCCCCCTGCTGGAAGCGGGAGAGAATGTCCATCTTTTATGTACAGGCGTTTGATCAGCTGATCAAACGTCGTGACGTCTCTCCAGATGTTTTACCTTCACGTGCATTATGGAGGTGAGCCGCGTGTGCGCGCGGGGCTGCAGCAGCCTCGAGGTCCTGCGAGCGGTCTCTTTAAGAGCGGAGCCGCGCTCTCGCAGCGGCGACCGGAAGCGCGCGGTCACGGCTCACCGGTAACAGACAGAGATCTGCTGCGGAGGATCCCAGCTTTCTCCGCGTGTCAGTCACACATGCTTAATGTGCCGCTCCGGTCATGACTCGTGCACGCGCTCTCAGACCGGCGGCTCGTGGCCTTTGTCAGCGGGCTCTGCTCGCGTAAGCGGATCTGAGACACAGAGGGACGATCAGGTGAGGAGGGCTGACTGCAGCACACACACATAAACACACAGGCACGCGCAAGTTTACTGCTGTGAAACAGCGCAGTGCACGCACCTGCTCACTT